AGTGTTTTTCCGCTTTTCAATCGAACGGAAAACCGCGGGCTTGTTAGAGAAATCGAAGTTTAGCGTGCCTCTTTGTCTACTTATACGTTTACATTGCTACAACTACTATTATCATTAACGTGTTAATTATAAAAGTAATTAATAAATCAGTATATTTCAAATCAATTGGTTAGAGCAACAGCACGGAACGCTGTGGATGCCGGTTTGAGTCCTGCTGTGTCATAATCTTTTTCAATTTAAATAAGTCTAACCAAATAAATTCAATTATATTACTTTTTTTTCATACTAAAAATGCCACTGCCTAATTTTAAAACTGTTCATACGTCAAAAACTAATGCTAATATCGCTTACGTGAAGTATACATATATTTAATATATTACTACAAAAGTGCAAGGCTGAAAATACAGCAAAATTTAATGTAAAATTTTCTTTCGTTGAAAATGAGTATAATATCTGGTAACGGTCTCCTTAACTTTGGAATTAGCTCAAAAGTAAAGCAATATGACAATAATTTTTAATGCAAAAGTATAAGAAAGTTGTAATGGATATTCAGAAAGCTCTTTAACTCAAAAAGTTATTTATCGTATAGACGGGTGCCTTATCTTTTAAGGAAAAATTTATTTGCAACTTTACAACTGGGAGGTACAGCACTCTTTAGTTTAAAGATATAAATAAGTCTTCAAATTTAAATAAAACACTTTAACGGTTTAAAACGCGATATATTAAACTTATTTAAAAGCGTACCGCCAGCCGTGGTCACGGGGAGACTAAAGATGGAGGATGTCTCTGACGTCAAAGTAAAAAATTGCTACGCTAGCGCCATCTGTTCCGTCGAAGTTGGTATTTGGCGAAACTGGCCGGGTCCTTGCAGAATTTACTAACGGTGTCTTCGCGTTTGCCGGTATGCTGTTTTTTCGGGATCCAGAGTTTTTTGATTTCAATTACTATGCGTACCAAACTTGGAAATCAAAATCGACTCTCCTTTGTGAGGATTTTCGAGGATATTCTTTAATTCTGTTTAATTGTGTATTAACAGAATACACAGTTACTCAACTACTACTACTACTCGCGTAAACTATAGACAGTCTTCAAATTATAAAGATTTGAACCTCCAGTTTTCGCTTAGTAGAAGATTTTCTAGAAAAAGAAAAATAATAATGCCTATTAACATTACATTAGAAGGTTACATTTGGTTCTAAGATAACTGTATAGATCACTGTGTAAATAATATTATTATGAAAATGCATAGTGAATAAAATAGGACGTCTCCTTGGCCTAGTGGTAGTTATAAAAGTGAGCGAGACTCCTACACAGGTATTTCCCGTCAAAAATCAATAGTCAAACACCTGTTAGCACCCACAAGTTCAATGACACTATCGTTCTGTCTGCATCATAAAGCTTTCATTGAAAGTACTAAAGTACAGTATGTGCTCTTGACTTTGTCTGTGTACTCACTCGATCATTTTTCAGCAACCATTGGCTCCATGCAAGAAAACACCTGTTACAATATTACATCGGCAATATGAGCTGGAACAAAATATGATCAAGATGGTATCGAAGTAAGTGGAAATTGTCGCAGTCGATATTCGTTTCGCTCCATTATGGCTAATTGTGTCTGGAAAAATGAAAGTTGTTATACATGATGAATTACTTCGGGCACGCGATGAGGAAAACGCTTGATAAATGCGGGGTGGATGTAATGAATTTTCGTATCTTCGAGGTAGACGCTTATCGAAACACACCTTGCTCGATTCGTTGTTTTGATCTCGCAGAATCCCTAGACAAATAAGGAATATCACGTAAAAAGAAATTGTGTTTGCGGTTTGATAGTGTAAAATTGTAACTATGAAACTTTTTAATATGTGAAACATACATTTTAGTAAAATGGTATTTAAACTATATTATGATAGTCAAAAAAGCAACTTATTTTATGAGGTACATTTTAAATTTCCCATGTCTTTTAACAATAATCTTCCACACTTAAACTCGCCATGATAGAAGATGATGAATGAGAAAACTCCTCGAAAGTGTTCTCCCAAATCCAATTGCGCTAATTTAGCAAGAGAGACTCAACAGGGTGCCACTTTACACAAAAAAATATTGTGCAGAAAGTTTTTATTCTCATCATATTTTCGCGAACCCCGACGGAGTGCCGTTCTTAGGGGAATTGAATTTGTTTTGTGGGGTGCGGCGGGACATTTCATTTGTTTTATAGATATTTACCTCAAAAAGTGGGAGGTGAGAGAAAATTGGAAATAGTTTCGCTGTAAGGAAAACGCGAGGGTTCAAATTGCGGCGAGACAGACTTGTACACTTTTTCTTTTCACGAAGTTTTGTGTAACATTTATATGTCGTCTGGACGTTATTTGTAAAAATGTCGTTTTAAAACTTATATCTATAAAATCAGTTTAAACGAAGAACAAAATTCACATCAATGTGCCACTTAGGACTTAATATTGAATTAGATTTTGTAAAATCTCTTATACTGAGCATATAAAACTTAAGATCCAGTTAATTAAGTTACCTTCTGCGCCAGAGACGCGATAATTATAAATAATGCAATCAAATTACGTAATTGGTCTCTAAGTCTTTCATACTTAAATACTCATGGAAGGATTACTCAGTACCAATATGCAAATAGCACCCCAAGAGAACACATAATATATAGAATACTTAATACACTATGACTATGCAATATGACATACTAATTAGTCATGACGCCAGGTAATGTCGTTTATAATTTCACGCTCCCAGTTATTTTTATGCATACTCATGTCTATTGCACGAACTCCAAATGGTAACTTAAATATCGGAATATTTGTAATTTAAAAACTTCGAATCTGTCTATATTAGGAGTAGTAACAAAAAAAACACTTTAACGGTTTAAAACGCGATATATAGTTAAACTTATTTGAAAATGATTTTTAACTTACTTACTTAAAGTTTTTATTTAAACTTCGAATCTATTAGGAAACCTGGTGAAGTACTTGAGAATACGAAGCAAAGAAAGCGAGATAAAAGGAGAGCTCAAGACTCTTTTGGAGGACCACGATGCACTTCGCCCCACCAAGGGAACACTTAAAACGCGCTTAACTGAAACGAATTAAAAACTTTAATTAGTTTAAAAGATAATATATTTTTGTTGCAACTTTTCTTCGGAAACGGAATAAATTAACTTAGATTTATCTCCTTAATTACAATGAAATAGGTTTCTCCTGATTTCTTTACTTAATATTGTATCTGTTTTATCCTGGTTATGTATTGTTTATAGGGCTCTTTAAAGTCACTCTGGGTCTTAAATAGAAGAAAAAGAAACAATTTCTTTTGGGAATATATATTTATAGTTATTTTGAAACGTGGATATTAAATGAGTGGCAGGATTGACGAAATTCCGCCCGGCTCACGAACCACCGCTCACAGATGAAAAAGCCGTGAAGTTTAATCACGTTTTGGTTTTAGTCTGTGGATTTCCGAACATCCAAAGCAAATTCAGGTCAACAGTGCATCTTGTTTTGATGTTATGTCTTATATGTATATGTTATATAGACTTGTTAATACTCACTTGCTTTTTTTATTGATTATTTTTATATTGAACACGAGAATCTATTTGAACCTTAAAAAAAATATAAAAATTAGTTTTTTTTTAAATCAATGCTTGTAGTTTAGTGAAGGCCCGCATAGCCAAATCAACACGCTCATGGAAAAGTTCGGTGCTCATTAAATTTTATCAATAAACCGCGTGATAAAATATAACAGTATTTTTGATTCGACAATATGTTTATCTGGTAACCGTGAGATAAATGATGTTCCCATTAAGAGATGATAGTGAAATTTCTTTCATATAAAAGGTGACAGTGAAAATGAGGTGGTATCATTGGTCTGCTGTTGACGTCAGCATCAGCAGTCAGGGTAAGGCATTTGTTCTATATTCTGTATTATATGTTATAATTCAACTAAAATTGCTCGGTTGGGTATAAGTAGTCGATTGCTAACATCTTTAGAGCTTAATCAATAGAAACCTCAACGAAAGGATCCTCAAGGAAACTAAAACTTGACATTAATAAGATACTGAGTGAGTTTCCTCAATGAGACCTTTCGATAGAGGAAATATTGACTTTATGATTGCTTCTCAATTAAATTAAAATGGAATTTAATTGGAATAGGAAGGGTTTTAGAAACTATATTACTAATTAATTTTTAAAGATTATTTATTCATCATTTTGATTAGATGGTTAATCTAATTATATTAACTGAAATCATTAAAAATACGTTAAATAAACTAAATTCTTATGAAATACGATGAAATTGGGTTCGAATTTTAATATCCCACATTTAAACAATTAGAAATCTAACTTTTGACTGACATTTTATACATAAATCCACTGAAATTCTAAAAGATAAGTTTTGTGTTGCAACGTAACTTTGTGCCTCGACCGTGGCTTTCGTCCGTCCTCTTAATATATTTGTTGAGTAAATACAGTCACCGAACTGACCTCAACAAATGTTAGTGTAGCCAATACAAATATACATTACAAATCAACTTCACTCCCAAACTACTTTTGTGGTTATAGGGTTAGTACATATTTAGACTTGGTAGCAAAGATTTGGATGTGACAGTTACAATTCCTTGGCTTGGACAAAAAATAGCTTCATGATAAATCTAAAACAGTATAAACGAACCAAATTATAAACGTCGATCAGACTAACAATCTTACTTAATTGCTATTTAATTAACAAATCGATTGAACCATCGCCCTATCTCTAATTTACGACGATTACAAAAAATTACAAATTAATTGTATTATAATAATACATTTCATTTGGCTTTATTACGAATCGTCTTTTTTTAAATTACTAAATTTACTTCTTTTTAAACGAACCTAGTTAAATATTGTTATGTTACAGTTATGTGTTGAAACATGATACATTTCTCGAGTCAGTCCCGAGCTTCGCCTGTCACGTATTGTTTTTATTATAAGTCAATGTAATCCATATTTCAGATGAAACTTCTTCTTATCACCATTGCTGCATGCATTGCAGTGGTCACCGGTAACTTCGAATGGAAATCAAATAATTTCGAAAGGCCCGAGCAACACTATTCTTGGCCGAGTGTGAACCACTACACTCAGAAGTCTGATTCCGAAGGATGGCGGCCGTACCATCCTAACTCCTTCCACTTTTGGTATCATCCGATCTCCACTAGATCATACCCGACGGTCTGGAGTGAAAACAACTGGCTTAGACCATATCGGAATTACCCTGTCAGGTCATACCAGAATTACCCAAGTGAACGTCACTGGTATATTAACAGACCTTATGAATTATACGAGATCAAACCACAGCAAGAGTGGTACGAATGGAGCTTTGACAAGCCTTATCAGTTTGAGCGTCCAACTATCATCCGCGAATACCAGAGCAGACCTTATTCTTACCGTGCCGAAAGCTACCAGCCAGAAGCACGTAATTGGCATGCTAATAGACCCTACCATCCAATCAATTTCTTCCACCCGTACCCTATTAATCAACAACACGTTAGTTACAAACCTCACCATCAACATCCAATTAAATCATACCATCCTTACCCAATTAAGTCTTACCATGCTTACGTCCAAAAAAACGCTAACAGGCAGCCATATAGTCACTTCTCAGACAAATCAACGGCTAAATCCCCTGTCGAATATCCCACTGCCCCTAAGCCTCAAGCAGAGGAGAATCAGCGCAATTGGCAATCAAACAAACCATACAAGCCGGTTCCGTCAAATGTTTATCACCCTTATCGTACCAAAACCCTATACCCAACAAAGGCGTACGAATCAAATTTAATTTCCCATAATTGGTACAAACCAACCAACCCTATAAATATCCAACAACGCCCAGTAACTTCTTACCTTCCCTTGCCGATAAAATCCTACCAACCTTACCCGCGTAAATCATTCCACCCTTACCCAATTAAATCTTACCACCCTTATCCTATTAAATCCTATCACCCGTACCATATTGAATCTTACCATCCTTATCCAATAAAATCGGATGACTCTTACCCAATTAAATCCTACCACCCTTACCCGATTAAATCCTACCACCCTTATCCAACTAAATCCTACCACCCCTACCCAATTAAATCTTACCACCCCTACCCAATTAAATCTTACCAACCTTACCCGATTAAATCCTACCACCCTTACCCAATTAAATCTTACCACCCTTACCAAATTGAATCCTTCCGTCCTTTGCCTATCAAATCGTACCATCCTTACCCAATTGAATCCCATCACTCAACACAAACAAAAGCATCCCATCCCTACCCAATTGAGTCTTACCACTCGAGTGAAACTGAATCGTACCATCCAGCTCCGGTCGAATATCACTGGTCTTTTGTCAAGTCCAAAAAACCAGAAGTGAAGGAGCATGTGTGGTTCATTAAATCGAATCCTTTTCAGAGTAAACCGACGCAATCCACTTCAGATGAACCAAGTCTTTTCAACGTGCTAAACTTCCTGAGTCTAATCAAGCCTTTTATAAGCCCAAAGGAAGAACAACCAATCAAACCACAGGAAGTAACATCAAAGAAGCCGTCGATCATTAAGCCATTATTTGGGAAGCCTTTAAAACCTATTAGCTTTTTCCCTGTCAAACGGAGTCAGCCATCGGTCACTAAATATAACATAGAGAACTCGGCGCACAAAGCGACCGCGAAACCACCTCGTCAGGTTCAGGAGCACTCTTCACCGACTCGAAGCTGGTTTCCTTTCGTGAACACTTGGAAACCGTACAAGGAACAGACCACTGAGCCAAGCAATAAGCTTGCTTAGATTGTATTCAATAGATTAATAATACCTAAGATAATACAATATGTGGTTTTATTCCTATTCCTATTAGTGCTTACAAAAGATTACTTCTGCTTCAGCTAACGGACATAAAACGCGATTATTAAAGGTTCTTCTGAAGATGGCCTTATACTTACTTAATCGTGCTTATAGGGTAGGGGAGGGTAGATGAATAATTTTCCCTGTTGGCTTTTTCACATTTCCCGTTGTTTCTATGCTCCTTTTAGTCACATTGCATTGTATAACCTCATTCGATAATCTGTAACCGAAATTTTCAATTTGAACCAGTAGTTCCCGAGATTAGCGCGTAGCGAACAAACTCTTCATTTATGTGAGTTTTATATTTTAATTTTGTGATGGAATGAACTTCAATATTTATTTAATAATTATCATAAATATTAATTATTAGAAGTACAAACATCATCAAAATAATAGCTTAACATGTTTTGGTTTAATTTCGTTCGGCAAACGCTAATGGTTAATTAGTCAATTATAGTAGACGGTAAATTAACAGTTTAAATTGTCCGGTTTAAATTTATGCTAATTTTCTAATAATACAAACGACGTAAGTTTGGTTTATTAAGTGTGCATTATTCGTCTATGTTCTTATATAATAATATTTAAAAGAGACAATAATTGTAGTTAATGTACTTTTATATTTTTTCGACCCTTTTATATATGTGTCGCAAAACGTAAATAGAAATATATATTTAATCTTTAAAATACAATTTTATTTTAAATAATTAATCTCGTAAAATAGTAACTTATTAATTACTCTTACTTTATTTTAATAGATCATAAATTGTCAAATTCTCTAGAAACCATTCAACAAACAAACAGTCATGTCTTATGACTTTTGAATTCTTTCAAATGTTAGAGGATGTTAAAAATATATTAAGTGCAGATTACATCTCAAATGGTGTATATAAAAGGTTATTATCCATAGATTGTGCTGTCTCGTTTGATATTTCTACGGAGGTGAGTATTATATTTTTTTAATTTAAATTTGTTCGGAACTAAGTATTATCGTAGTCTCACATAACATCTATCTGTCAATATATGTATATAACATATCAAAAATCAATAAATTATACGTAACCTGCTACCTAAGGAATAGTTTTCTTCGTTATTATTATTTTGTAGTTCTATAATATTATTTTACTATTTGTATTAACTAAAAACTCAACTACTAAACTAAAATAAATTGAATCTAACAAATTCGCACGATAGAAAATGTATAACCGCGTATTAAATATATATATATTTAAACACCGTTAAAAGCGCACACATATGTACATAGCCTGACGAAGTAATTATCCTACCTTTTTAAAATAGCATTTCTCAAGAGAATATCAAAATTTGTAATCAATAATATCAACGTGTTCAAATTAAAAACATGTGTTATATTTTTTTAGATGAAGCTGTCACTTATCATTGTATGTGCCATCTTTGCAGTGGTATCGGCTAAACACTGCGCGAAGCTGAAAAAGAAATCGCTAGTGGACTGGGAAACTTCATACGGAACCCCCCAAATAGACCCTGGCTTCTATGTCGGTTATCCATACTGGTGGAACCAGCCTTATTCAAGAAGTCTGCTTTACGATCCTTACGAATATAATGGTTACCCTGAAGCGTGGAATAATGTGTATCCATTTTGGTATTAAATAAAAAAGTGATTATTCTTCTTTATTTTAAATTACAAAAAATCGTTCGATAAGTGTTCGTGTAGACGTCTTTATTTCCATTCATAATATTTAACCACCTTATGACGAAAACAAAAAAGATTCGCTGTTGATCTACTTTGGCTTTGGATATTCGGAAATTTACAGACCGCATCCGACACGCGATAAAACTTCACGGCCTTTTCACTTGTGTACGGTTGTTTTTGACTTAGACGAAATATTCGATATACCCAGTTTTTCAGATGAAATTCAACATGTTTATGAAAACTTTCCAATAGATTAGAATCATGTTGCGCCCGTTGGGGGTCTCACCCGTGACCCGTCACTAGCCATACATACTACAATTCTGCCTTAGACTAACGCGTCCGTATATTATGTGTATGTTTAACGTCAGATTTAATATAATAAAAAGTCGACAAAAATTCGACAAAAACCCTGTTAAAGATTTACGTATTCCACCGAATGCGAGCTTTTATTCAATGCGTTCCGTGTTTTGGAAATGTATTGAAAAAAATATTTTTGCAGCGATTTTTATCTTTTCAACGTTTTTGTTATATTCGGCTAATCATTTATTCTTTTCACGCAGGCTTTTATTTAATAAATTACTTTTAAAGCCAATTAACATTATAAACAATATTAAGGCAATAAAACATTTTAAAATAAGTAACTAATCTTTAACTCACATAATCTTTAACCATGTAAATTATAAATACTGTCTGTAGTTTACGCGAGTAGTACACATTTAAATTAAACACTTTAACGGTTTAAAACACGATACAGTAAAACTTATTTAACTACTAATTATTTTCACTTTAGTTTAAGCAATTTTCAAACATGTTTAATTAATATATATCCCGTTTTAAACCGTTAGTGTTTTATTTAAACATGTAATTTTATATTTTTATAAGTTGAACCTACAACACGGTGCTGGTATAGTACCAGCGCGGTAGGCTATGGTCGTGGGTTACAGTAGGCCGCGCGTGTTAAATATCCGAAATATTAAAACGTCTATAAAACTCAGCTCGCAATTTATGACTAAGTATCCCAGGCCATTTTTAAACTGGAGGTTCATCTCTCGTCTACATTAATCCCGATATGAGCATTATGCATTTATTCTCGCGAGTGGCGTGGTTAACGGAAATGAGGCTCCCAACTGAATAGCAACTGAGTTGCCGTGAAAGATTAAACTGGGCGCAGCTAAGTCTCCTATGAATAAAAAGATATTGTTTCCAGCTCCGCTATTTTAAATCTTCTTTTCGAACATTGGAACATCTACTTGTACTACTATTTTATCTCAAACGTTAATTATACATAATACCTATGTGCTCTGATATTTCATAATAGCAAAAAAAATGTTACTTCTTGTTTTATTGCATATTAGTATTTTACATAAAGAAAACAATTTACATAATAAAGTTATATTGTCAATAAAATAACTAATATATTTTGTGTTTTACCCATTTATAGTTTCTTTTATTACGGGTTGATGAATATCGAGAGAAGGTTACTGCCCTATACTTTTTTTTAACAAATCTAGGTTTTTAATTTACAAAAGTATTATTGTCTATATCGCTAGGACTAGGTCTGTATTTAGATACCCAACAATGCACTACAAAGAAAAACCAAAACACTCATTGCGGTGACTATAGATTTTCGGAATGTATAATACATTTGATTCGATGCATTTACGTAGCCTTACACAAGATATTGCTATTGACTTGTGAAGTGGACATTCGATAATATCTACTGTCAGCTTCCAGCTCCAACTTGGTATTCACTTAAAAGATTTCATTTCCGGTTTACGAGAAGACTCGATGCCATCGGGTCTCGATCGCTCCACTATAAAGATGATACGTAATAACGTCGTCGTCAAACTATATACACAATACACAATTATATTACCTGTATGGTACAAACGATTGTTACTAATTTCATAGATTAATAAGATATATAAGCTCTACTGTAGGTTTAAATTATCTACTAGTTCAGTACAAATTAGATAATTTAAATGAATATTTTGAAATTGTTGACCCAAGTGTTCGCGTTTTAAACCGCTAAATGTTTTTTAATTGTTTTCTTCTCGCCTAGTAAGGGCACTATATTATTTTCTTAAGATATTGATGATTGATAATCTTAACGTTGTTTGGAAAAATCCTACACTAGGTATGTGTAAATATTATAAAGTTAGCTATTACAAATCAATTAGGAATCCCCACAAAATGAACTTTAGGATTGATTTTCATTTAAACTACATCAATTCCTTTTAATATCTTAATCAATTAGTTGTCGTCTATATAAGGACCTTCTGTTGATATTTTTGGTATTGCCGAGTATATTGTGTCACTTAGGCAGAGGCCGTTTTCGTAGTGCACATTTCAAATTGTTAAAGTAAATATATTTATTTTCGTTTATTGTTAGTTATTAACTAATTTTCTATCTGTGCGGTAGATAAATAATTTGATGGATGGATAATTTGAGTGTATTAAAAGGTTATAAAAAAGAGCAAATTGTGGATTCAATCGTGACATTATGATTTTTTCCAATGTGTATTATGTGGTAATTTGTTTCGTAAATTTGGGGGTTTAAAATTACACGAAAACTAAATTGACAGTGTCCGGGATTTTACGAATGTCAAACCTGAAATTGTGTACTATAAAGTAATCTGAAATAATAACGTAAAAATGCTGTAAAACTTACATAAATAAAAAACATTCTTTTTTAAATAAGGTATTATATAAAATGAAAAAGCGCGAGTCAACTCACACTCAAAAACCTTTGAAATGCCATAGTGGATAGTTATATAGTAATTTTCTGAAAAAAAAAAGTTTTTTTGTTGAAAATCTGTTTATTTTACACATTATTTTTTTCCTTTTAAAGCTATTTTAATTTGATTCAATTTGTATTTTTTAGATGAAGTTCACTTTGTTACTTGTAATCGTAACAATTGCGATCAGCTGTACTCAAGCGTACTTCCATTTAGGCATACCGTTTCGCCACCACCACCACGGTTACGGCTACCGGCCATATGGATATCGCCCATACGGGCGGGGTGGATATTACCCCGGTAGGGGTTACCCTGAATATGATAGCGGATTGGTTCTTTAATTCTAAATGCATGGATTGATTTGTAATAGTATTTTTTAATAAAACTTTTTTCTGATCAAAATTTTAGCGATTTTTTGTAGATCCCAACTTGAAACTAATTATTATACCGATCGAATTCTCTTTATATCAATATTTGGGACAGTGACAAAAATATACCATTTAAACATAGGCACTTCACACTTAGTCGTCGCAATTGTCACTTAGAGCAGTCTTCACTGCGTCTAGCAAGTTTGTAAGGAGTGAAATATACCGGGAAAATGGAAATATAAAAGTTTTATCAAAGTCAAAATGGTCTTGGCAGGGCGGTGCAGAGTGCGCTCGCCAATTCTGCTCCATTGGCTCTACATTGCGTCGTGTTTGAGAACTGAAAGAGGCTTTTTATTGCCTGCTACACCTGACTGCTGGCTTGATTAATGACAGCATAATCGCTGTTACCGACTCTTTGTTCCAATAGAGATTTTAAGGCAACTTTAGTCAGCATCAATAATGCTGTTTTCCATAGCCATTTCTTGAAGATTCGATTTTATTAGCATGATAAATGACACCAATGTATTTTTATATATACATGTAACTGCATTATCGGATCGCTTAAAATTTCTTTCTAAGCCACCTTTAAAAATAAGACTAAGATAAATAGACTATAAAATTAAAATTCTCTACTTGTTGTACATATTATATGCAGCTCCTAGAACATAGGTTAATGTGGCTCGTGCAAGTTTATGTTATCGACAGGAGCTGAATATTAATTACACATCTACGATGTTTTATCCCGCCACAGTCTGTGGTTCCTTCAGTGATCTATGTACCAAGAGTCAAGGTCTATGTTGAACATAAAAACATAACTATAACTATAAACAATACTTCTGTACTGAAAAAAATTTATAAATTTTTTTATATGAAATTTTAACGACATTTATTGTTATTATATATGTCGGATAACACAATATTTTGTGAGGAGTTGCAAATTCCTACTTCTTAAAAAATTTGTTATGCTTCGCATCAATTATTATTTAGTTAATCCTTACATTTACGAATAATTATTATGTTATAAATTTATAATTAGGCAGGTTTACTATCGTATTTACAATAGCCTTGCTTCAAACGCGTTTGTTTAGATGTTAAAGTACTGTGGTCAGGGTCCGGATGGGCCTAGTATGGAATTTTAATAAAGCACTTACCTTCAGGTGCGGCTTGTGGTTATTTATTTTGAACGAATGTAATGCTATTTTATTTCACTCGGATTAGTGGTTACCATTCCTCATGAGACTTAGGGTTAATGTTTAAATAAAACAAATGTGACGGTTTACAACGCGAAACTATAACTGTAACTTACTTTTAACTACGAGCTGAAATTTCAAATGCATTGCAACAGTCTTAGTCACGAAGGCTCATTATGGTGTACTACTTGCATAAACTACAGACAATACTTATATTTCGTTTCAACGTTTACATTTACATTACAATAATAATATTTATATAATTTTCTATCTATAAGTAATTTACGCCAACGTCACACTAAAGAACATCAGAATAATCTTCAACTTAATCTTCGCATTGACAACGAAGTGAGAGGCCTAAACGCATTTAAAGGGTCGTTCTGGCCTTAACACTCGGAAGGGTCCTTCAGACCCGCAACTTGTAAGGGTTAAGCTAAGTAATGTTACTATGAATGAGAGTTATCGGCGAATCTTGCGATTTAGCGTAATACTCTTAGTTCACGGAAGTTCAGTTAGAGAAATATTACCTGTCATTTCTATGAATATAAGATTTTTGATTGACATTAATAGATAATTAACTTATTACAAGTTTTTTCTTCAATAAGCAACAGTATTCATCTTCCTTTTCTTAATAATTTAATAAAATCACATAACCGACGATAAAATTTTAGTTTTAGTCCAAAAAAAAAATGCAAACAATTTCTAAACAAATTCCCGTGGAATTCATTGCTATAATAAAAATATGTAAATTACATATATTAACTCTTCAGCAATCAAGGAGCAAACATTTGATGATGCCGTCCGCTCGTGATGGCGACGTGTCGAGAACCTCTTCTCGCTCACGTTGGCCAAACAGCCCGAAAAACAATGATATGCTGAACGATGGCCGCGAAAGCCTTACACAATTTATTAAAAATATATTTTTAACACATATATGAATATGCTTGAATATAAAATAGAAAGGGAATTGTCATTAATTGGAAACGCGACCTGTTTTCAATTTCACTAATTATACCTTTTGTCACATAAACTCAATCAGTTATTAATTGGAATTTCTAAGACGTGTGTACGATTCTTGTTACAAAACGGTGTTATTGAATAGAATGTCTATATTAATTTCGCTCTTCAATAAGCGAGTTAGCTAAGTCTGTGATATTGAATTTACATGGATTTCTATGGCTTGGATCTGATTTGTCTTACACACGGTTACTGCATATTTATATTGTTTCCGGCTCAAAGGACATTAAAAAAGTGATTTTGGTGTATTTAGTCAAAATTCCTTTCTTGTGTAGTTACACAATCGTTTTAACTTTAATTATATTACAGCGGAAACAAAATATTACAAATAGTAAAATATTTTATATTGATTCTTCATTTTGTCTTGGTTTTTGCAACTCGCACAATTTTCTTCTATTCCCTTAATATTTTTTTTAATACGTCGACATCAAAATAATTCAATTATATTTTTTTTATATGACTAAATGACAATGGTGTATTAATAATGTAATTTATAAAATACGAGCGCGGTAAATACACGTTGGTTACTAGTGTCTCCAACGTTACCTTTTGTCGATAGATTATAACTCGTATAACGTAAATTATAAATTCAATTTCCATCACCGCTCTCATCGTCGCTACGCTTTTCGTTATTAATTTTATGGAGTGTAATATAGATCTTAAAATAATTACTTGAGCGAGCTTTGGTTTCGGTAAATAATGAGTTCGGGCTTCGTTGATTTGTAGCTGCGATATTTCACTCCAGTTTCAGAGAACTGAGACGGGGTCGCCTCGGCGATAGCGGAGCGACGAGATCGCTGCTTTTTCAACTTCTTTGTACGCGCATACATAATGAACCCGAAACTTATGCGATATGTCTTTCAAAAGATTCAAATCTACACTTTGAACTCCTTTTGTCGGTTGAAACTTCAAAAAGTTCACATGTAATTTATTTTGTTGGTATTAATCATACATCTTTATATTATTGGTATATATAAGCATATTTAAACTTCGAACATTAGATATTTTTAATATTTTTGAAAGAATTATGAAAATAGGAATGCATGCGTTTTACTTTCATGAGTAGTTTTTATTAATGGTAACTTCGCTATACCGAAGAAAACAGTTGTCTTTCTTTTAGTAGAGACTCTTAAGTCTTAGAACTGTGCCAAATCATGTAAAAAATATACATAGATAACTTCTTTATTGTTCCTTTTTTACAAATTTTATCTTATGCCATTACGATAACGATTAAAATAATTTCTATAAAATAAACTAAAAAAATAACTAAGCAATAAGTCGGTTTTTATATATTGTTAAAAAATAAATCTATGTAAAACAGAGCCAATGAGTATTCGCGGTCTAGTATAATTATCTCGTAGGTACCTCGGCATAATATGTACATAGATATTTGTCGTGTTTACGTTTAATCGAAGTTTATTTCTTGCGTAAATAAGAACCTCAACAAAATATTTAGTCTAAAAGTTCACTAAATTTTACTTATAAAGACAATAACAAAAATTTACCAAGCTAATGCAATATTAACCACAGATACAGACCAAACTTTACCGCAGGCGAGATTCGCAAGTTTCCTCATTATCAAGATGTCAACCTGCTTGTTAGATATAACTTTTATACTGTGGTCGAACGTCTGTAATTGCTGTGTACGTACTTTTTATATATATTTTTTTTTGCTACACATATACCTATACACATAGGCCTTTTTTTGCATGTTTTGGTAGTCAACTTGGAAAAAAATAAAACGATTTTTTCGATTTATTTTCGATAATATTATAAGTCCCCGACGCTATATATCTATTTTTTAAGATAAAGTTGCCAGAACGACGGGAAGGGTCGCGACCGACGTCGTGGCTAACATTAAGTTTATAAAGTTTGCAAAAACAAATTTGGATGCCCAAAATAACGATTGTCACGGACGAAGTCACAGGTAACAGCTAGTAATAAATGAAAAAACTCAACACACAATTAAACAAGAAAAATATAAATATACTGAAAGCGCATGAAATTATTTTAAAACGGTTTATAAAGACAAATAGACAATTTTAGGAAATCGATGATTTAATTACTTTCTACAGAAACTTTAAAATCTGAAATAGCAAATAATCATATATTAAGTTAAGTACTCATCAATGCTAGGACGTAAGCACAGAACAGCTAATAGAGTTACAGACTAAGCAACGGCGTTGAGCAACTCCATCCATTAATATAGTGGACAGGTACATCGGACAAATGATCTAGCATTGTTTGCGGCCAGTCTGTTTAATTATAGGATTAATAGCTCTAAGATCTACCTCGTGTTCGAGTAGCCTGAGGATTGCGATGATAAATTGCACGCGGTGGACATCCTTCCATAATAGTATCTACAAGATAGTTACAACTGTCAACTGTGAGATATAAACAAAGGAAAGCCTTACCAACAAAGTAAATAAGTCTATCAATGTAAATAATGTAGGTTTGATAATATTTTAAAAGGATTGTTGCATTAACTAAACAAAATGTGTCTTTAATTATTAGGAACAATTAATAATTTTGGTTGGAAATATTTAAAAAATTCGTTTAACCTTGAATATACTGCAGCGTTACTGAGATATTTTTATAAGAGGAGGCTTTGACGCTTTACAAACGCTCATTGAAAATGGCTTTCCAAATGTAAGTACTTCTGTGATTCTTTGAATAGTTACCCTAACACAGTCAGTTCGTTTTAAGAAAGGTTTTCTTATTGACCAATCACACTGGCAACACGTCTATTTCCGGTCCCTAACTCTGTGAAGCCTTCTCCAACACGCAAGGTGGCGTTTAACGACAGATTTTGATAGGCGCAGATAACTAGAACGTTTTGATCAATTTCACAGAATGTAGCTTACATTTGGCCTTTATAACCTACTAGATAACTTTTCCATTGTTTAGTTCGGCTAATCACACATGAATATTAATCACATGTCTAAATGGAAACGTCAGGAATAGGAGCCGGGCGAATTTATGAAACTCGTTATCCGGTCCGAGCCATATCCGGTTATTACAGGACCGGACACCCGGCTCAATATTACGCTGAATAAACTTCTGCCTCGCTTCGCGTTTCGACTGCTCCACTGTACAATTTTAATTAGCGAGCATTTTTAGTTTCATTTACTAGGTTCGCTATATTTATTTACTTCCCGTTTCCCGCTCTTCTGCAGTTCACGTGTTCGTAGAGTGTGTCGTAGTTTTATTTCCTTACTATCAAAGTAAAGCGATTTATGACAGTTCCCGATTGCAAATGAGTTAATTAATCAAAGACTGTATCTAAACGGTATTTTTTCTTTTCAGATGTCTTGTGGCGGATGAAGGGGTAGCTTAATGGCGCGGTGACACAGCATGTGCCGCGAGCACATCGCCGCTATCTTGCGGCTACTGTTACTGGCTGGTGAGTTGCATAAAATCTATTTGTTAAGTATGTACGGATAAAACGATAAGCTCCTATTCAGCCTAACAGCACTGAGAAACACATTTTGGTAATTAGCTGTAATTTTATACCTTCTCAAGGTAACCTATAAAATAATTCAAGGTGTAATTGTACATCGTTAATAATACGAATTGAAGAAGCAAAGCTTTCATTTTAAATGCCACAGGGCTAAGCTTTCGACGTAACCTCGTAGCTTTGATAGCTTGGCGCAGTGGTAAAAATAGCCGACTTATTAAGGTCACGACAAGGCGTTTCACAGATTTAAAGCACCTTCGCTATAGTGTTCTATGTAATTAGCTACAGTTGGCTTTTAAGCCTATTTTCCTTGTAAAATACTTTTATTGCAACTAATAATAATAATTATAGGATACAGACAAACAATATTACCATTTGGCTTTTTAATTTAAAATGGCGCGAACTCCAAATTTATTAATGTTAGTTCCTGTACTTACAACAATTTCGTTTGGTACAGCTACCAAACATTCCTTTAATGGACGAATGAAATTGTAACAGCCATTTTGTATTTATCATTTCACATTCCGAAATTATATTATGTCTAACTATCCAGGGCGACTAGGCCAAGGGGCCACGTAACACATAATTTAATGAATCGATTGTTTGACAGAGCTATCAGTTAACAAGTTTGAGCGCGACAAGAGGCCAATAAAAACAAGAAGTTCAGTTATCATAAAGGCCGTTAAAGTTGTCCCATAAATCTCGAAAACAAAAGCATTAGTACGCAAAAGAGTTTTATATTCACCGCAAATCCCCCTTCAGCATAAATTATTGAAACGTAAACAAAGGGTATGAAACACAAAGTTTTTTCAAATCAGATGACAATGTTAGGCGGAGTCGAGACAACAGACAATCACTTTTACTTATAAACTCTCCTTTCATACTTTACAATCGACTGTAGTTACATGAATACTTTGACATTGAAAAATATTGTTTTAAAGAATTTGCAACAGTCCATTATATATAAAGAAAACTAGGAAAACCCTTCATGAAAATTTACTTTAACAATAGTTGGCATCAATAGAAACAACATGTCAGAAAATCTGTTTTCTCTTTTGCCCTTTCACGTTATTTTTTATACACTCTGCTCCTTCTTAATGGCATTATTGATTTATCTTTAATCGGTTTGTATACCGCCTAAAGAAAGGATCGCAGACGAGGTTATCACGTCTATGGTCTAGACAAAGCCCCGACTACCCCCATAACAATCTATTCCGTACAATTAAGTAGTCGAGTGGACTGACCTAGATTTTATCCATCAATATTTCGAGTACAAGCTCACTCCTTTGTACTAGAAAAAGTCTACCTTTATTAGACGATGGGGATTATCTAAATTGAAATAGCTTTTTATAATATATAGGTCTATATACTTTTTAGGTGACGTAAAAATAACTATTTTCGAATAAATATTTCCTATTCCTTATTTGATCAGAGCCATAATAAGGCAAAGCGTAAGCAGATATAATTATTTCTCATCAAATTAGATCGTTCAATCTCAAGGAGCTGATCAATCTGATAACATAAAGAAAAGAAATCGAGTAGTCTTTTCTGGGTCATATTTATTTTTATATATATATTGACGCCATAAAATACAATTTTAAAAACTTACAATACTATACTTACACTTTTGCTGTATTTTAAATGAAATATTTTAATTTTTTATTTCTATAATCTATAAACAATACACACGACATATAGGTATATATAGGTAGGTATAGAAATATAGACCTGGAAAATTAAATGGAACCATTATAAATGATTCATACGAGATAGCGACAAAATTATAAACCAATTATAAATCGATTTCAATAAATGAATCATTAAATTCGTCATGACAATAAATGACACTCAGTTACAAACTCAACCTTTATCGCACTCTTACGTCGTGAAATTTATTTCTCAAACAAAACTCACAATTTATCTCAGCCTCGTATTAATGGTAGTACATCTTAATTTATGTAGGCCACTCAACGCTGACACGCCTCTTCCTTTGGATTGTGCTAAACTGTATGGATTCTCGAAATCCCGCGGACCAAGTTAAATCGGCCGCGAAGACGCATCAATTTCTGTGGTCTTGCAATGTTAAGACGTTTCCCTCGCTTACGTAAATTACATTAGCTTATCCTCTTTGTTTTTGAGTACTGATTAATAGTCTCGTTATTGTCTTTTAAGAAATACTTAAGTTGTTGAATGTTTGAAGAAAATTTTAATAAATATATACTTATATAAAGTACAATGTGTAAGATCACGATTATTTAGTTTTCTTCTTTTGTATTTTTTGTCACAATATCGCTGATCGAGATGTTGTCTATAACATAGAATAAAATAAACACTTTTGTAATAGGTACATATTGTACTATGTATGGACTTTCTGAATAATATAATGTAAAATTAAATCAGATAGGCTTTCAATTTAATTCAGAGGAGCCATCGTAATGGTAATCTATAAGCAATATTCAGAAATCCATTAATCCCTGTCCCATAATACTGTTTCACACTCCATTAAGGATTGGCGTAACGACTTTTCAATATTATCGGTGGTTACGTAGAAAATTTTCGGATTATACTCGTAACTTATTATATTACTAACTTATATAGGCAGTAAATATAAAGATTTAAACGAAATCAAAAAACTAAGAGAAAGTTCTCGTCTGTTCTATTGAATGTCGAGGTTTACTTAAAATGTCTCAAAGGACTATTTTATGGAATTATAAGAGTTCGACATCAATGTTGTCCAAACAATGTTAAATCTAGCTACATTCTTACAACTGCGTGTGCTTGTTGCAGGCGGTGCCTTTTACGTAAACCCCTACACCAACGAGGACCGTATCGATCTGAGCCAAGTATGGGTCGAGATTCCCACAACTCTAGTGGCGTTGGGGGGAGACGTCCACATCTTCGTCCGCGGAGCCACCGCCACAGGCAGCTTAAGGGTTCGCCTCGCGCGAGAAGACGACGACGGACGAACACTGCTGGCTACGATGCCTCTAGCCCTGGACGCAGAAAGTCGAATGACCCTCCCGTGTGGGTACTTCTCCCGAGGGGGCGTTTACTACCTCGAAATTGTCGCCGATAAAGAAACCTTTCTAGACTACAGCAACTCCACCATAAACACGATCAAAGTGAAGCGAGATGTAACAAAGGGGGGGATAATGGAGACCGGAGACAGCATAGTTAAGTCCTGGAAGTTTGACGTACTCTGGCCGAGCGCAAGTCTAGATGTCACACCAGAACAGATCCAAACGTATCCAGAAAGGCAGGTGACAGCCATACTGGAGTTCCCGAAAGTCGTGTGCACTCCTGTGCAAACGAGCGCTGACTTTTGGCTGGAACTGTTATATTGCGGACATTCCAGTGGAGGCGCTGTACTGTGTGACGGCAAGAACACTAGCTCGAATGCTCACGTGCTGTATTCTGAACAGGTTAGCTTACTTGATTTGTTCTTTGCTCATTTGTTAACAGCTATAAAATTCAAATGGCAAACGGGTAACAGACACTTCATAACAAATTATCATGGTGTTCGAACCAACTCTTTTCACCCAGAACACAAAAATTTACAAATAAATATATGAGACACGGAAATAGTCGAAAACCTCCTTTTTAAATTCATTTTTAATTATTAACAAATTTATAATCATTGTTCATTTAAATCGTTGTATTGCGATCTTTGATCCCTCATTGAACTGAACAATTTAACTATGTTGCGGCTTCCATATTCAATGTCAGTAGTAAAGTTAAAAAGTAGACCCTACAACTAGACTACGTCATTTGTATATGACCAGGTTGTATATAAGGAGTTGAAGAGTTTAAATAATCAATCAATTCGGCCTTTTGCGGCCTTAGTATTTATCCTACTACTGCTCAAAAGGCAAATTGCTAAAGACAAAAAAATACATAAAATAATTATGAACTTCTGTTTCAATATCGCTTGCATGTTAATTTTAGCCGAAATACCCTTTGTGTATTGTTTGTTGTTTGGGTGGTTTCTTTCGCCAATATCTTTTATTTTGTGTAAAGTAACTCTAGAGATCTAAACTACAAAAAGACATTTTTATGCTCATTTTTAAAAACATTTACAGTTCAATGTAGCTATTACGAAAGTGCATTCATAAAGCGGAAGTTCCCTATGAACATAAAAGTAGAAATACGTTCTTTGTCATTTCGTATGAAGTACATGACATTTATTTCTATTAAAAACGAATAATGTTGAAAAATCCTTCAAAATTTGAATTAATACTGACGCTTAACCTACGCTGTGTTGTTTCATATCAGTAATACTTGGAAATGGAATATTCATTGGATGTTGAACTACCCATGCGTTAAGTACGCACTACGCCAATTTAGTTGGTAAATAACGTATTGTCGAGTTCCCTGTTCCTAGAACTTTCATTTAATGCTTTGCTCCGATTCATGTTTAAGCGATGAATCAGCACTCATGTTCTATAAGTTAGAAACGAAGAGTAGTCAAATGCGACACCAAAACAGCCCGACTTGCATCCGTTTGAAATAATTAGCAGAACGTGATGCGAGGCGCATATCGAAGCTCTAGTGGCAATGACATAATGCAAATATATTCAGGTGCGATTCCGCTTAAATCCACCAAAGGATTCCCGACAATTATTGCCGAAGTTCTAGCGCACTCGCAGCTCTAATGAAATTAGATCCTTCCCGAAACACCGGAGATAATTAATGTCAAATGCGATTCCTGGAACTTTCGATTCGCGAACTTTGATGCATAATTATGCGTTCATTTTACAATTCATGGAAGTGAATACGAGTTTGTTATATCATCATACTTCAATGTTTAAAACGTCAATTTTATTATATTTCAACGGAATTATTACTTGTAATTAGAGATGGGCCGAGCACTCGGTTGATATTCGGTACTCGGCGGGTTTTTTAATACTCGTACTCGGCCGAATAGCTTGGTTATACTTTGTTATTTAATAACGAGAATGCTTTGTTTAAGAAAAGCAATATATTAACCTAGATATAAATAAGACTATAGTCTTAATCCAAAAGTATTTATTAGTAATTTAGGAAATCAAAACTATGGTATGCTAATGATCATAGTAAAATAGACAAAACTTCGAGAAGATGAGAGTGAGCCGACTTCTTGACCAGCGCGAATGTGTTTGTACTTGTTTACGCGCGCGAAGTGAGAATTTGATTGGACTTACTCGGCCGAGTACCCGGTTGAAAAAACTTGAACCGAGTAAAACTCGGTACTCGTTTCTCGGCGCCTATCTACTTGCCCACGCCTATCTAATGCAAAATAGTGCACTAAAAGTACATGAAGAATGTAAAATGAATCTTGGCGATAAAAGGAGTGACGGCGAGTTTATTGCCAGTTCTTCTCGTAAAAGTAAAGTTAGATTCTTTAATTTTGTGACTACTGTGAATAATTGATTTTGACTTTGACTTGTTAAATAAATTATATAGAGAGTAAATATGAATAACGTACGTACCTACGAAAATTACACGAAAAAAAAATTGTAGCACCTGTCGCGTCGTCATTGATCGTCGAACAAGTTTTTATGTATCTAACGTGGTACATATACATATACTTATAAAAACATGTTTACGTTTACATAGATGTATGGCTTCCCCGGTCGACGAACGATGACCCTTCGGTGTGAACTGTTCGGACAAGCTGGAGACTACGCCCTCACTCTTCGACCCGCGGCCGCTGCCGGTCCCCAGGATTTGGCGTTGGCTTTTGTTAAGGTATGAGACAATGCACCCAGAGATCTAGCAGCTAATCTGGTAGAACGATTACACGATAGACAGTTGAAGCTAGTTTTGATGGTCTAATAGGTTTTTCAGAATACGTTTTAAAATTTATAGTTAGTTAATTCTTCTATATATTCTGAAAGAACAATTAGAGTGAAAAATAATGCCATCATGTGCTTATAACATGTAAAAAAAAAAGTTTTCTATTTTATTATAGAGCTCGCTTTACTGCCAACGGGTACTGTGTTAACCGTAATTGTTTCAATTGATATAAAATGCATTTTCTTAGTAACTACTAACAGTAAAAATGGTATTGTTAGTTATTTTTCTCTTGTGTACATTATACATTTTCAAACCTTTAATTAAATACCAATGTTTTGGAACCACTAGAGCCTGAAAACATTATAATTTTTTTACATTTTATTGCACATGAAGGCAGTATATAATTTAAAAATCGAAAATAAATTGAAAAAATTTTAGACTCGGGCAGGACTTGAACCAGCATCGTATGCGTTCCGTGCTGTTGCTCTTTGTTGGAACGCTACTACTAGCGCCATCTAGTGTAAAGCGGTGATAACTTTGCGCTTAATCGCTAGGATCGCTACATATTCCGCCTTGCGACACGTTAAACTCAAAAAGCCCCAACCAATAATCGTTGTGGTCTGTGTGTGTGTGTGTATGCCAATGTGCAAATAGCACGACCGATATCCATTTTTTTTATTCCCTTGATGACATTAAGAATCTTTTCGTAACGAGGATGACTAGCTTTATATCTCTATTTGAAATATCCATAACAATAAATATGCATAAAACCGCTCAATCGACACCGTTTCACGGGGCAGATCTCTCCGTTTCGTCATAAAACAGTCGTAAAGTGAATTCAGGTGCTCGTGGCCATTTACTCTCACTTCCGTCGAACCCTCTCAATATTTTAGCGGTCTCGTATTTATTGGGATCCCTCTCAACTGTTTAATGCGCAAACTTTTGTTTATTGGCTTTCATCGCTTTTGATGTTAGATTACATTTTTGTATTCACGGGTTGTACAACGGGTTACTTTACGTTCCTCGACTTTTAACGGGCTTTATTAAACTTGTTACAAACAAATTTCTATATAAAATTATCCTTATTTATTAGTATCACCTACCGACTTGTCGCTACGGTTAATCGTTGTAATTAATAGAAAAATAAGTTCTATAATATCGTTTCTGCTTACATTTTTGTTCATTCATATAATGTAAGTATTTTTAATTTATATATATTATATATATAATAGGTGTTGCTTGGAAAAAGTATCTCAAGTTGAAACTTTTTAATGAACGATAAATACCGCAGCTATTCGTGACATTGCTTTTGTGTGACCTATGAACTTTAAGTTTTGAATCGTTACCTTACGAACATTTAGATTATATTTCATCAAACAGAATTTGACTACATGTAAGACTTATTAAATTTTACTATAGTATCAATCGAAATGCTGTTTGCTTATTAGCTTGAGATATTTATTGGAACTTTTTTTTATATCTTTTTTTTTAATAGGCGGACTGGTCCGATCAATTCGTCTTGAATGTACATGGAGGGTCGGTATTCCCCTGTGGCGACGGAGTGAGAGTCCTCTTCCAATATCCCGAATGTGTGCTGGATGGAGCTGATAGAGTGAGGGTATTCGGACGGGAGGGAGACAAACTTCGATATGTCGTGGAGAGGAGGGTTAGAAGGTTTGTTATCTTCAGAAGTAGAAGATATCATACTTACTTTAAATAAGTTCCATGACATAAGTAGTTTATATGAAATAAACGATACGTTTTTGTTTTAATTTTAAATGCAAAAATAGATATAACGTTGAAAAACTAAATTAATGTTATTTGAACTTTATTATAGAGGTCAGCACACAGCATCTTTCGACTGTCGGCTTTTTAGCGAGAGGTATCCCGAATACTGCTTCGTGTATGTGTCGCAGGCAGTTACGGGAGCCGTCGCGGATGTGCGAATGGACTGCTTGCCTACGTTGCCTTTGTCAGGTATTTCTTTTAGTTCAAATCATTTTAATATTTTCCTTATATTTTAAATATCTAAAGTCAAAATAGATCTACAAAGCATCTTATTTTGATATTATATGGCTGGGGTATTCACATACAATTATGTGAACCATATCATAAAAAAAAATCTTTATCGCTAATAATTAGTAGACATTTAGATGAGATTAGATATTGTTCTTATCAGCATTTCGTTCTAGAGGGCGGCGCCGGTGGTTGGGGCGAATGGTCCCCGTGGTCCGCGTGTCCAGCGCCCGCGCATTGCTCTACGCGAACGCGTAGTCGACATCGATTTTGCGACTCGCCTCCTCCAGCCTACGGCGCTAAGTATTGTGAGGTGTGCATATGTTCGCGCTCTATTGTAGTGAAATGTACATTATGACGTCATATATTTTATAACAAAGATCCCCTTATTCCCTTAACGGTCTTTACCATTGTTTTTAAAAACTCCAATCTTAAAGCTACTTTATTTTCAATGGACTTTCGTCTTTTTACACTTTCCTCAGTAGATTTTCATCGTTCGTTCGATGATAATAATATTACCGGTAAACTTTGGTGTCATTCTCATAGCAACGAGCTTACAAACGTTGCCTAGCAACGACCCAATATTCTGTATATTCAATATTTGTTAGTCAATATACGCGCAATTTAAAATAGATTTTTACTATTAATTTACATTATGGCACCGAAGAAAGATAAAGGGAAAGAGGAGTCAAAATCGAAAACTGGCGGCGCTGGAGGTTTCACGGAAGTTGAGCGAACGTTCCTGGAACTGCAAATTAGTGATTGCAATCGTAAGATAGCGAGACTTCGAGCTGCTGTAGACGAATATGAACAGCGAAATGATGAACTACAGAAAGCTTACGACAAACTGGATGAAGATCGAGCCGACATTATCGCGTATCTTAAGAAAACCCTCAACCTTAAAAATGAAGAGAATAACGAGTTAAAAGAAAAAGTTAAAGGACTAGAAGAAACGAGGGAAATCGAAACTGCTCAGTTTAAAGAAACCGTCCATGAATTGGAGAAAAATTTCACAATTATGAAAGACCAATTGACATCCGAAAATAAACTGTTAGCCGGAAAACTAAACACGTTGGAAGAGTTTAGAGCTATACGAGATGATCTCATGAGAAAATTCGAAAAACAAGAGCAAGCGTTTAAAGATCAGGAGATGAAATATAAGAGAATTATTTATGATGCAGAAAAGAAATTTGTTATTGGGAAAGATAAACTTAAGAAAGAAATGGAAGGTAGACTCCTACAACTAGCGCAAGATTTTCAGGATGCTACGGAATTACGAATTGCTGCATCTACTCATCGGGTAATCAGAGAAAATATAGCTATTAATAATGAATTAGACAGTATTTTATCAACGCAAGCAAAACTAGCAGAGCAGAATGAAAAGTATAAGGAGAACGAAAGAGCAGCTCGTGTAGCTATGGAACTTGCGGAAGAAGAGAGGGATAAGGCTATCAATAAGAACGTCGTCCAAGTTAAGGTCATTGACCAACTAACAGTCGCTTTTCAGCAAATACAAAAAGAAATGGGCTTGTTCGAAAAGAAAAACTACGATTTCGACTTATTGCAGGAAAAAATTGAAAGACTTTCTAAAGATAACGAGAACTTAGGTTTACAAGTACGAATATTAGAACAAAATCTGCACGCCAGAATGACTGCTCAAAACAAGGCAACTGCGGAAGCCTCAAAGGTTTACAAAGAGTGTGAAAAATTAAGAAAAATTTTATCGGAGGCAGCTGTAGCTGTACAAGCTGCTCTCAAACTAGATGACTGGGCAACGAAAGATCCTTCGAGAGAAATCATGGACCGACAAATGTTGCTAGCTAGACTGTTGGATATTATATCTCAATACCACGATATACAACGAGCCGAATCTATGGAAACATTGGCGTCATTCGGAAAGGTTTACGAGGAAGGTGATCTCGGCTTTATGCCGAAGCCAGTTCAAAAGCAGTCGGCAATACCAGCAATCGCTTCTGCTCTGTCGAAAGACTCTCTTAGGGGTGAAAAGAGATCATCCGACGTTATGTCCGTCTCATCAGCGTCTCTGGGCAGCATCAAGACTATTCCGAGTATGAAACTCGTGCCACCATCGACGGAACCTATGCCGCTGGTACCAAAAGATAGCTTACCTTCATTTGTTACGTCGTCACAATCGACAGTTAGTGAAAGTGTCCAAGCCGAGGAAGTCCCCGAGAGTGAAATGAGTATAGGTCAAAAACTAGAACAGAGTAAGCTCGAAATACAAAAATCGATACTAAAAGATTTACAATACTCGCAAGCAGCGTTGGTATCGCAAACTAGAATGTCCCAAATGAAATCTGTAATGGAAGCGCCAGAAGAAGCGATGGGAGAGCAGCAGGAGGGCGAAGATATAGAAGGCGAGCGTGTAGAAGGAGAACATGTTTCTGATGAAGAAGCGAGTGAGACGGCAAAGGGCGAAGAAGAAGACGAAAAGGAGGATGTTGAACAACCAACAGAAACAAATGAATAGGGAAATATAGGATTATATTATTATTTTATATAAAATAATTTTAGTGTTTATTATATTTAAAATATTTAATTAAAAACCATAATTTTCTACGACTTTTGTTTTTTTTTAAAACCTTATTAAGAAAGCTGAGTATTTATTGTAGGTAGGTAATATTAATAATAAATTCTAGTCATTCTTTCATTTTAAAATAAAAGAAATTTTCCCGTCGTTCACTTGTTCTTTGTTGCTGTGTTGTAAAAAAAAAACTTGATTCTTTCATTTATTTAAGGCGTTATGTACTCAGGGTCAAGCAGTGGAACTCGCTGCCTGCGAATGTTCCGCGCGCCCATGGGCGGGCGATTCCTCGATGGTGGTGGCAGAAATCGGAGCAAGGTGTCGATGTGGCTGCGTGCTGCATTTAGCTCCAATCGCTCGTCTCCTGGCCGGTTCCGCCAAGGCGTGTCCGGCGAGGTCATTTTGGTTACTACAGGTAAGCTTAAAAATATATACATAATATATACAACTATTAAAATGTTGATGCACCTTAAGTTTAAGCAAGTTAGTTTGTTAATAACTGAATTACCATTGAGTAGATGATGACATTAACGTCAATATTTTTAAGGATTGAAATTCGTACCTAATATAAAAGGCTATTTTTATATTGTTGATACACTTTCATATAATATTGTATACTGATCAGTCATATTGACATTATGTTTTTTTTTTGCTTATATCCTAAAAGTTTAAACATTTAATAATAATACGTAATAGTTCAGGCCTTCGATCTTCATCTTTAGGAGATAATATACTCGCGATATTCGCTACATGTATATTAGCGCAACAACAATGCAACAATATTCAATTAACTTGTTATAATTAATGCATTTCTAGTTTCATCATTTAAATTCTAATTTAATGAAAGAATAAAAAATGTACTCCAAATAAACAAATGGATGAGGAATTGTAGTGATGATATTTTGAATATCATGATTAATTATGATAGTTAACTTCCAGGTGGATAAAATATATATATTTTTTGATAATTAATAAATCACACACAAACTTTATAAAGTTATAGTTTGCTCAGTAAAAAATATTTGAAATTAAATATTCTTGCCTAATCGCTTCCAGAAGTAAATGAATCTTTGACTCGTAGTCACAGATTTGTAATAGTTTAATTCCTCAGGTCTATCGAAAGAGGGATATCGATATTTGTTTGTCACGTCTTCTAGTAAAAGTTGAAAAAGCGATCTAGTTTACTCATTTGCTCACGACGTGAAACGTTCGAATGAAAGTTATATTGAATTTGCTGAAAGCCATCAAAACTTGCCGATTTTCCATCGTCGAGTAATAACTCCGATACAGGCTCGTTTAGTTTACCCGGTATTCAATAATTTTCCCAGGAAACTGGGAAATCGTAAATTCTCACCGCTTGACATCCTTTTAGTATAAATTTTGCTTTTCAATCGAATATCCGATCCATTAGAGATACATTTTTGCTAACTTGGCTTTTCTCTTGCAAATTATTTATTCACGTTTCAATACGAGTTTTATTCGTTCGATTCATTTAACAATGTAAACATTAAAAAAAAACAAGGATTCAAACGCGACCTTTATAGAATTTTTTGACTTATTTTACTTCGGCCCGACGTTTCGGACACTCTGTCAATTCGTATTACCCATGTTTACGATCAAATGCATCGACGTGCGATAAATCAGCCCGCGGTAATAACGCAGATAAACTTGTAGCAAACAATTATTTAAGTACGTGCGATCCTCATGTTTACCATAAACCTGCTAGATATTTTACAATATAACGCTATTGACAGTCTTACGGTGACACGAACCTTGTCTGACATAGTTGTTGTTAACCCGTATCTGCGTTACGTATTTCAAGTTCGTGCGGGCGACGTACACCGCAATGTAACTCTATAACCTAGATAGTGTTTTGTTAAGTGAAGTCACGTCCGGGCTAAGTTTGCCCTGGCCCGCCTGACAAACATTTCGCTTTACTATTAAAAGGAGATCAACCGTTCTATAACTTCGAGAGATTGGAAATGTTTGCTTAAATCTTTGAACGATGACTTTAGATGTATTTGCGTTATATGTAGTCTACAAATTACCATTACTAAACAACATTTTCAAAATAGAACATTGTGGATGCATATTTTTGTTTAAGGCACACAGACATTTAATTGTCGATTCTCTTTTTATATTCAGATATAATCAGTTTATATATGAGACTGCTAAAGCTAGAATTTGTATAAGAATTATGTTCTTTGTAGAATAACAATTTTTGAATATAACAATATAAATGACTGTCATAAAATTGCAGTTAGGCTACTCTGCCTCCAGCGACCGTATCTTACCTTTTATACATATACATATGTATATATGTTGTTGTGCTTTTAAAGACTTAATTTTATTTACAGTATCGAAGAAACGTAACATATTATGTACCTAGCGGTTACTAAACCAAATTTGAACAATAAAAACTATCCAAGGGTATAAATGTACAAAGTAATCAATTCTGCTCCCACGACAGGCAGAGGAAGGGTTAATAGTCCGAGTTCGATTCGAGGCGGTCCGCTTACCCTGCGCGGGACAGTCCCTCCGGGCTCGTGACGGAGACTCGTTGGGGTCGCCCCTCTTGGCCTCGTGGGACGGACCCGATAGCACCGCTGTGGTAAGTTATCGCTTACCTGCCCACACCTTGGGTTAAAAGATATGGGTTCGACGTGTTTGTATCGAAAGGGCAGTCTTGTATACTTTGGGAAAATAATTATAGTGTCACACGGTAACGGAACTCATACAAGTAGAAGTTGTATGTTGCATTTAATAAAAAACAATAGAATGTTTATTTATTTAAATATTTTTTCGTATACTAAGAATAAATCTGTATAGGGGTACCATTTATATTAAACCTTATCTTTACTCAGTCCAGTGATGTAGAAACTACGACTGATAGCAACGGGATGGTGGAAATAACAGGCGGACGGCACATCCTCGTCGAACTGCGCTCCAGTGACGTTAGTGACCGATGTGCTGGCGGCTTTTTGGCGCACGCTACGCAGAGTGGTTAGATATTCGGTTTGATTTTCTAAAGTAAACAACATTTTTTTCTGATAATTTTGCATTAAAATGTGAAATTTTCATAATCAATTACGTTGTTTGATGGGCTTTCTAAATTCTTAAATAAGGAGGAGGCTTTGTAGTTAATCATTTATTTATAGAGCCGATTCGCAACGCTTCAGCTGCTTGGGCGTCAGTCGCCAGCGTAGCCTGGTGGAGAGGTGGTGGGGGCGCTCGAGCAGCAGCAGCCACACTTGCTGCACTAGCAGCCATAGCAGCAATACTACTGGCTATACATTCAGCGCACAGAACTCGAGCATATCAGCGAGCTGCTGATAAAGAGTCTCTTACCGATAGTGATGGTAAATTATCTGAAGTAGAATATTTTTTCTATACTTGTAAACACTTGTCTAACTGCGATCGTAATCGAAACTAACTAAAACTAAAATTCGTGTGGTTAATGTCGAAGGCAAAAAACAGCAAACATTTAAAAATATATCAATAAAGATCAGAATTTCCCGATTTCCTATTTCTGTTCTCTGTCAAAGCAGAAAGTTGTTTCCTTCTTGGAACAAACATAAAACATATTTGATTTTGTATATTTTTTACATAGCAAAAAAATAATAAATCTATCTGGCGTTTTCAAATTTGACTATAAATATCAGACATAATAAAATAATAATTTATGAGTTTATGTAAGAGACAATTAAATAGTGTCTGTAGTTTACGCAAGTAATTATTTGTGAGGTTAGTTAAGCTTATTTAAAATTTATTTTAACTACGGTCCAACGTTTCGCATGAATTGCAGCAGTCGTGGTCACAGGGAGATTCCTCGACTAATAAATAATGTTCAACAAAAGTTAACCGATAGTCAACCTTATACAAAACTTGTCACTATTATTAAAGTGGCTTGTTTTAATGCATTAGGAAAGCAAACTTATTATTTTCTTATTTTTAACAGCTTGTTCTGCGTCGCTAGAATTGGGTGGAGCTACAACCGGTTCTCGAAGTACGCTGCTCAGTGAAGTGGTTGGGGGTGGAGTTTCTCTTCGAAGACTTCTGCCTGGACGACGTCGGCACACCAGACTCCGGGACAGTGACAGGAGTTCAGAGCATGTTCAGCAAAGGTAAAAATAAAAAGAAATGTTCTGAGGCAAGAGGGAAACGGTCTTTCGGTTTTACAATTAGTTTTCTCCGGTAAAACTTCCCGTATTGAGTCCGGGGCCTCTAAATACTAACCGGGCGTTAGTAACAATTGTTATTGAAATGAATTGCAACAGGCGAGCAAATCTTATAATGTAGCCATTGGAATAATTATAAGTTCTTTCATTTAATTTTATCTAAGGAAATTAAAGTTTATTTAATAAAAAAAATGTGGAAACCGTAGACTAACATCGCTTTCCAACTTCTAGTCTTAGTATTTTGCTATAATGCTACATATAAATGGCCTTTAGATATATATATATATATATATATATATATATATATATATATATATATATATATATATATATATATATATATGTGGATTCTTTACTACAAGAATATTTTTTTCTACTTGAGTGAAAAGTCACCAATACACTTGTTCCCACTGAGTGGCGTGGAGGGCAATTAGTGGAAGAGGGAGCTTTTGTTTGTGCACGTTCACTGTATTGACTGTTTGTTTCTCACTTAATGAGGGTCTTAAAATAGAAGTACTCGGAATTCGGTGAAGGGCTTATTGTCTTGTGCCCTTCATGGAATAGCAGCGCTTTTATGATATTGTTTTGTATTTCAATATGTTTTTATATATCCTATTAATTAAATTGCTGGTTGAAACCCAAAGTATGTTGGTTAATTATAGCTAAATACGACCATTAGGTTTCAAAGAAGCAAAAAGTGAAGTAACGTAATTTTCAGGGACGAGGACGATGCAACATCGGATAACGAAGGTGACGCAGTAAGCGTAGCCAGTGCTTGCAGCGGTGCGAGCCAAGTTTCGCAGGCGACAGTAACGCCAGAGAACATCTCATCTAGCAGCGCCCCCGTCGCTAGTAGCGTCAGACAGTCTCCATTGCGACGGTCGCATACGGTGTCTACTCATGTATCTGTACAAGTAAATATTGATAAAACACTTCTCTATACTAACCTGTACTAAAATATAAAGCTGAAGAGTTTGTTTGTTTGTTTGAACACGTTAATCTCGGGAACTAGTGATGGCGATTGAAAAAATATTTTTATGTTGGCTAAAACATTTATAAAAGGTTAACAACGGGAAATGTGGAGAAAACGGGAGGAATTATTTATCTTTGTGGGTTTCCCTTTGCGTACGCTACGAAAACGGTTCAAGATACCCAAAAAATATGTTTGAGAGAATTATTCCCCTTTAAATCGATCGAATCATAAGATCAAGAAAATGTCAGTGACACTATTTGTCATTCTTTTAAGATTAACTTGCAAGACGACGGTCGCGTCGAACATCGACGTCGAGTCGTGTATAATAGCTAAAATTTATATAGATGAGGAGGACTTTTGCAAAAACAAATTTTGATGCCAAAAAAGCAAAGTCTCTTCTACGGGGACGAAGTCGCATCCACAGCCAATTTTCTAGAAGTTGTAATATAAGGTTTTCTTCCATTTTGAATTTTTTAGTGGTTTGACCCTCTTCGAAATGTTTCTCGACGTTTCGCCAAATACGAGTTAAGGACGATTATCACAAGATAACTTTAGTTTGAAACATCGAAAATCATTCCTCAGCTAAATAGTTCCGCATCTATTGAGACGGTTTCCGTTCAACATAGAGACACTATATTTGAATGTGATAACAGATAAGCTCACCACCGCAAGCATCAACCAGCGAAGCAGTCACAGCCGAAGTCAGCACCAGCGTGACGAGCGTGAGTGAGCGAGACAGCTGCAGCGAGAAGGACCACGACAGTGTGTGGGACAAGGATGCTCAGAGTGTAGCCTCTTCGACTTCGGCAGCTACGCTAACTAACGTGAGTTGGTCTCTTGTGTCGTTTTATCTTTTTGCTTTTACATTTTTAATTCTTAATCTTGAGTTGTTAAATGGTTATTTATCTAACTGTAAGTTGACTTGCCCCGCAGCAGCTTTATAAATATATTGCCCCTTAGGGTTGGTACTCACCAGCGTTAAGCGGAGTGTCGGCAGCCCGCATTCGCGACAACCCTAAGCACACAAAAGAGAACTGCAACAGGCGACTTTTGCGGTCAGACCTCAGCCTTACTTCGCATCCCGAAATGGAGATAGATTATTACGATTATGAAGTCAACAACGCGGGTAAATGTGAATATATATTTTCTTATTTTGTAATTTAAGCTTCCTAACACCCCTTAACCCTTGCCCTCTCCCTGAGGATGTTGCTTACAATTGGTTTACTAAAATAAGTGTTAATAGAAAATTATCGACGAGCAATGATGTACCACTCTGTTTTAGGTTCAGTTCCCGGTTCGTATTTAGGAATGGATCCCGCTTTCTTGGTCTGGATACCGCCGTTGGATGAAGGGGATATCATAAAAGAAATGGATGAAAACAAAGCTCCCATTTACGAAGTAAATTATTATCGCATCTAATTTCCAATTATTATAATAATATTAATAAAAACCATCGAATGCGTGTTAAAATTGTATGCTAGCGAAATTTTACTGTAGTATAATTTTCAAACTTTGTCTGTAATATTAATTAAAAATAGACGTTCCAAAAGAACAAACTTTAAATTATTACCGCCTTGGTTTATAATCATATTAAAGTTAGTGGTTAAATCGGAACAATATTCAATCTTAATAACAAGTATGTGTGCCTTGAAATAATCCTAAAAAATTGTAACTAGTCTACTAAGCTTATTCTATGTTCTCAGGAGGTCGTGCCAAAGGAGCTCAGACCAGATCCAGGCAGCAACAGAGAATCACCGGAAGACAGACCGACGCTCAAAAGAATCCCGACTAATCGCTCCAACGAATCCATCAAATCCATGCGCAAGGTCATAGACAGAAGCAGCGTCATACACCCGCTCAATTTCAGCATCAGTGACTTGCAAAATTCGCCCCAACTCCCGAAGAGAAACAAAAGGAAGAAATCCGAAATTCCCGTAAACATTCCGATGAAAGATTTGACCTTGATGTCCCCAGTGAAGGTCCACAAAAAATCTGATGACTCGACCCTAAAACGAGTTCTGGAAACGAGAGAAAAGGACAGCACTTTGAAAAGAAATGATTTTAACGATATTAGGTTTGCTGACGATTCGTCGAATGAAATAAAATTCGACGATTCCCCAGATAGCAATAGGTTAGTTGACAAGTTCGATGTTAAAGTATAAATGGGCTGGGTTTAGAATAATAACGTAAACCAGACTTCCCTTCCTTTGCAAAACTGTTTGTTCTGATATCATTTTGACAAAAATTGTTTTCTCTCAAGATTTCGTAAAACTGAATATTATCGTAAAACTGAAGATTTGATATTTTAAACATTAGCCACACAAAGCTTTGTTTAATAATGTTTTCGATTCAAAATATAAACTTCATTAGTCAAAAATAATTAAATTCTCCCAGCAGTCATCATTGCGTTATTATTCTAATCCACATCGCCGATTCGGATAATGTATTAGCGCACTGTATATAAATAAAATTACTCCTAATTTAACTAGTTTGCGTACGAAACAGTTTTGAACACAGCGAGCTCAAAGCTAATTAAACACTAATAATATTTAGAATTTGCTGGATGCAAACAAACAAGCTTTTGCATTTATTGTTGTAGATAAGTGTTTGCGATCACCTACATAGCTCAATCGTGTTGTTTTGTAGTCCCACACCGCTTGTCTCTTCGACAGAATAGTTCTACGGCCTAGAATTGATTTGGCGGGGTGAGCTTTTGTTAGTTACCAAATCGGACTCCATTTATCATATTAAGGACCAAATTATAAATAGAAACTCTCATATCATGCGATCACTTATATTTTTTAACTTAAATGCATTCTAATCATTATTAACGAAGGTTAAGGCTTCGATCAAGTTTGAAATTCAAAGTTGTACCATATTCGGAAAGTTTTTTTTATGGACTAAATAAGTAGTATAATATACCAAAATTAAAGTATTTTATGAAATATACTTGTAACGGGACGTAACGCGTTTAGCTACAAAGTTACAAACTTGAGATCGTACGCAGCCTGCGGCGTTAAGAGGAGACTACAGTAAGATTCTTTGTAGTGTCATTTATAGACGTAACTATTACGCAAGCATTGTACGTCATAAGAGTTTATAAATGTGTAATATAGCCATTTATGTGTTAGACTTATTAAAGTAAGCACTTTAGAAAATTTATTTTGAAAGACTGAACGTTTCGGGCAGTGCAATACATCGTGAATTGAAAGATTTCGGTAATAACACACCCAACACATAAGAATATGAAAAGAGACGTTTATTAAAATACTTGGCTTTTTTATTAGTTTACTGAGTTATGTATTGCATAGTATGAATAGTAATTCACGTGTTTTTCTATATATAACAAAATAAGTAAATTACTATAATGTTGTGAAAGTGAAGATATTCTCTTGACAAAGTTTTCTAGATATTCAAGGATGATAATTTTAGGAAGAGTGAAATGTATTTTTTTCATATTTCTTTTAGATATTGCGTAAATGCAAATCTGCATTATTTCATAATTTTCATTTCCAGTCGGAATGTTATCGCATTATTCTGTATTATAGTAAGAGTATATCTGAATTTGAAATATACATTTAAACGTGAACTACAAAAAAATATTCCTTTTGAGGTCTGTACCTTTTTTGTTTGAGTCAAAAGTCACTTGCAGGTTTAAATTTAATTATAAAGTCAAAAATATTGTCTCTCTGAATCATAGAATTGCTAAAGTGAAATGCTAAAATGTTATTTGAATTAAGGTATTGAATCTTCCCTACTCGTTTGCAACAGACAGCCAAATTATTTTAAGGGTTCCACTCATTTCATTAACACCTTTTTGACACCAATTGTTACTAACACCAATTTCTAATAGGCCCGAATAGTAAAGAAAACAAGGAGTTTGTACATTTGCCAGTTGTGACGGTGTTAAAGGAAGCATGAGACAACCTACCCTCATTAATCGATCTCAAAATTTCTAGTCATTTGAAATTTATTATATTTATTGTAAAATACCAGCCTATAGCACATTAGATTAAGATACATTATTTAAACGAAAATAATCTTTTAGTTAATGTACTTGTAACGTGCACTTAAAGCAATATTTGTTAAATAAATGTCCAAATATTAATCATGTATTGTATTTTTTGTTTCTAAAATCTACGAAATAAAGTGTTTTTATTTTATACTTTATATCGGACTTTGTATTTATCTCACCTGACCACCTTGACCTGTGCATGTAATTATCAAATAAGTTGAGTAACTAAAGACAATATTCACATTCATTTGTTGATCAAATGGTAGCAATGTATACGGCTAATAATCGTGGGTTTGAAGCAATTTATTTTTTTCTGAAACAGGATGGACTTCATCTGCACATCTGGGATATTAAATGATTCCACCATTCGCAATGAAAAAGGGAAGTTTATTAACTTCGGTTTCCGTATTCGGTGTCAGATTTCCAAACATCCAAAGCAAAAATGATTCGATAGCGCATCATGTCCACATGTTATATGGCTACGCTTGCGTGCTCGTCTATCACGAACAAATTTATATGAATTTCAAATTCAAAATGCAGTCTGGTGTCAGTCGAACAACGAAATTATTATATTTATATTAAAATATTTATAAAGATATTTCGACATATTAAAAATTAAGACTAAAAAATACACTTTCCTTCCGCCTTTACGCACACATTTAAAAACCAAAGTGTGAATCTATATTATTTTATCTATATGTATGTATTTGAAACTGCGCGTAACTGCATCAATGCTCTTAACATTCGAATTCCGTTCCCTGCTTATGACAATAACTAATATGGACCATTGAAATACGCGGCTGGTTGGTGACGTGAATGAGTCGCTAATCTGCAACTGGCTCATGTTTAATCCATTCAGATTACGAATAGGCTTAAATGGCGATTACCGCATGCACGCTCTCAAATTCACATTCTGAAACTGGCAGCCGTTATGTCAAAAGTGGGAGGATAATATGGATTCCAAGCCATTTAAAATTCGTGTGATGTTATTTAATTGTCTAACGGTTGCCAAAATGATGTTGAAAGTATAAAACGTGGTACGTATGGTGTGGTCATAAGAAACAAAGATCAACTCTTTTGAGCGCACGCTGACAGCCTAATTGGAGGAGAGATATTAAATCCTTTGTTAATAACGTGACGCGAAACTCGATAACCAACGGCATTTATTTGTTGAAACGGGCTTTTCAGTGACAAGAAAGGACGAAATATTGCAATAAAATATAGTCACATCGATTAACTGACTTTATTGAGACCTTTTATTGCCATTCCGTTATGAAAAGGTTATGGTTGAAGTAACTTAGCAATATGAACATATTCTAAAATCGTTAAATAGTAAAGAAAAGGTAAACATTATCAATTGTTATTTAGGTTTAGGTGCCTATGTAGATAGTGTGTTAACACCAAGTCTAGGTAACTTTCGATCAAAAGGGCTTTTGCCTGCTTACTAAATCAAATGGATGATACCTAATTGCTATGCTACAAAAGTCTTAAATAACCAAGAATAGATTTAACTTAAGACAAGAGAAGACTGTAAAATTAGGTAATTTTAGCGATAAAAGGCGTGTGGCGGCTAGTTTCTTGACAGTTCTTCTCGGCCTTCTACACCCTCGATATGAGAACAGGTAGTAAAGGACAACTTAGTCTTTTGTTTTTAATAGGTTTGACTTTAATAACTACATAGTTACCTACGTGAATAAATAAATGGTTTTTGATTTTTAATTATATAGTAGTGTCGTATCCAACTAGATCTATGTTTGCTTGTAGAAAACGTTAGAAAGCCGAGCACGAGTGATCTCGACTGACCTAATTTTCTGGACAGCAAAAACTTAACAAATGTCTCTATGTTGCCTAGAGCTATCGTCCATGTAGACCGCTAGATGCGACTCTTTAGCGAAAATTCTAGTTAGTAACTTCTTGTAATGTTGGTTTTCAATCAAACACAGTGGAAAACATTTCAAGTGTATTTTATTTGCGTCATTTTAAGAATTCAGTTTAAAGTGAATTTTCGGTATAAAGGAACGTAGTTTCCTAATTATTGAGGTTCACAATAATTAACTATGTAAATAAATGTGTCTCAATTTCTTAGTAGCAAGGTGGAAAGAAGTAAAGTGAAAAGCAGTTTCAAGCGTAGGTCTTTAAAACAATAAAAATTAAAAAAATTACGTCAAAGAAGGCATTAAAGAGTTTCCCTTCCCTTCAAAAAACTTTTTAATTAAACTTAGCAAAGTCTTATCTTGTAAAAATATACATTAAAAATTGTTTCAATAAATTAATTTTAAATAGGCTGATAAGTAATTTAATACACTTGTTAATAATCGTTAAAGTTATTACCGTATCCAGTGCTCCTCTAAGGCGTGGATCTACGTTTTGTGACTTTGAGACCATTAACTGGGGGCCGTTCATCCGGGACGAACTTAATGACCAACCCCTTATTATCTTCCCACATTAACTTGTCATATAGGCGAGTAGTTTTGCTTGCATAACTCTTTGTTTAAACTGATCCGTAAGATATTAAAGTAAAAAAGTAAATGTTTTGAACGGGTCACAGGTTTCCGTCAATAACTAGATGTGAACTAATATCATATAAATATAGAAGTAAAACAAAGCAATTAGTGTCAATTGACATGGTTCGTACAAAATTTTAACAAGCTCTTAGAAACGAATAATATTATTAAACATTCCTGAAAAGTATAATTGAAGTGGAATTAACGTAACATCTAAAAGACTAAAAGGATTTCTTTGACAGTTCTCATGTGTATTCCAATAATTATGTTCTTTTAAATAAAACACTTTAAGGTTTAAAACGCATATATAGTTACTTATTTGAAAATTATTTTTAACTTGGCCCGACGTTTCGGGATGCTTTGCAGAGCCGTGGTCACGGGGGGGAAAAAAACCCCCGGCGGCGGAAAGCAACCCAAAACGCCGGGGCGAAGTTAAAAATAATTTTCAAATAAGTTTAACTAATATATCGCTTTTTAAACCGTTAAAGTTTTTTATTTAAATGTGTACTACTCGCGTAAACTATAGACAGTATTTAATTATGTTCTTAACAACTTTATCCCACGTAATGGGTTCTCCATTTTATTATACTAAATCTTGCTTGCTCGAAGAGAGTGCCTCAATTTAAGAAATAATATTATGGAA